CACTAACAGGTTTGTCTAGAAATGTGTTTAAACCGAGTGTAAACCTTCATCCTGTTACGGTTTATAAGCAGGCTGATACACATTTGGTTCTTGCTTTGAACCCCTTTCTCTCACAAGTTCTTCTGTTCACAAGTACTTGATGAGCAAAACAGCAGCCACTCCTTGATGGAAACAAGTAAACAGGATTTATAAAAACTGTACAAAGCATGGGCTGTTTTGCATGGGATAAGTGTTTCAATTCCCTTTGTTTTCTGTCTTTGGCAATGGCTCTGCACCAGATGTACTGGAGAAAGATGTAACAACATGAGTAATGAACTGTTGTGGAACAGCTTTCCCACAGATGTATCTTCTCAACACATCCTCTTCATCAACAGTCTCCTAAAAGCAGTGTAAACTGTTAAGAGAAGGTACCCATAAACATTTAGGTGTGACAACATCACCTCCTGCCTGGTGAAGACTGTGCCCAGCTGAGATGTGAATTCACTCTCCTTCTCCATTAGCACTCTCTGGAATGGTGCTCCACTCAAATGATCCCACTGTACTGCAGCCGGTAACCGGCTGTTACCACAAACATGAGGGCAGCTGTTTTCTGTAGGGTGATGGGGACCTGTTTTAGCTCATGTGGTTAACGTTGGAAAGACTGTAGTCTGTTTCCTGGTCCAAGTTCTGATTGAGGCTGTGAATTACATTTGAAGTGACTATATTTGGTTACTTTAATAAAATATTCTAATGGATGAAGAAGAACATAATTTGGAGAATAAAAATATAAATAGTAACAATAAAGAATATGGAACCCTTCAACCATGCAGTCATTTGCTCCCCAGCTCAATCGGAAAAAATGTTGTGAGTTAGCTGCCACAAGATTTTAATGGGTATTTGATACCCATTGGAAATCAGCTCAAGATCAATACCTTCGTTGTAGTCAGTGACTGCTATCCAGCACATAAAATACATGCTGGGTCCATTTTTTTAGTCTTGGAGATGCCAAAGATTTAAAAATCACACTGTAAGTTTCTTCCAGAGACTGTTTGCTGTGCTTGTCATCACATATCGGTGTCTTTTGACAGGAGATTTATTTCTGGTTTTATTCCCTTTGGGAGAGTTGGAGAAATAATTACAATCATTCCTGCAAACCTTTTGTGGTTAATTTTAAATCCTGAAAGTAATATTTTTTTAAATATTGTTGGATCTTGTGTTTTTAGACATTTTTATCATGGGATAATTGCAAAGGGAGCTTTTAAAATATTGCTTATATCCACTGGGTTAAAACCTCATGTTTCTCAATAAGCTTAACCTTTCTATATATAATGCATTCAAAAGAATGCTTATGAAATGGCTGACTTGCCACATTTACTTGTTGCTTTCTGGGCAATAGTATGGGCATGAGATCATGGGAATTTACTGTTCTGCTTATGAAAGCTGAGCTGAGCTGGTTGGAGAAGGATGCCAGTGGTATTTGAATTGGTAGCTGAGCACTTGAAGAGAAACTTCTTCTTTTTAAATATATAAGGAAGAAGTTCTTTACTGTGAGGGTGGTGAGGCACTGGAACAGGTTACCCAAAGAAGTGGTAAATGCTCCATCCCTGGCAGTGTTCAAGGCTAGGTTGGGCAGAGCCTTGTGCAACATGGTCTGGTGTGTGGTATCCCTTCCAGTGGCAGGGGGGTTGGAGCAAGATGATCTTAAGGTCCTTTCTACCCTAGTTATAATATGATTCTGTGTACAGTGGCCTCCAACTTGGTGAGCTAAGCTGTTGCCCAGCACATTCTTCAGCTGTTTTCTGCTGGAGTAGTCTGCTGCAATGTGTACTCGCCCATAAGTTATTTAAAAGATACTTTGCTGTGTTAGGTTCCAACGTCTAGTAGCAGTGGGGTTTTAGCCTTGAAACAAGGTGAAAGAAAAGGAGGAAGTGGTTGGTGAGTTCAAAGTTGGAGGTTGAGGAAAAGTCACTGCTGTGGATTTCTTTTTGAGAACTCTGGGATCATTGTTTTTGTCAGCACTGTTCCTTCCCTGTTTCTCTTACAACCATGTATATGTGCATGTTGTGGGGAGGTCCCCCTCCAGGAGACAAGGTGCAGTGAAGTGAAGGCTGGTGATCACAAATAAATATTTGGGGTATCAGGATGAAATTAAAGTGTTCTCCAAAAAGAGATGAATGCAGAAATCTGGGAGGGGCTGGAAGGGAAACAACCATAGGAAAGTGGTTTGGGAAAACCTAAGTCAGCTTGGCATTGTTGAAGCCCATGGGAAATTACTTTTGGACCGCAATGAAGACAGCGAGGAAGGAATGCCAGAAAGATTATTACACTTGAATGAAAAGTAGTCAAGTATATGCTTGCTGTGGCTCCCATCCACATACTGCTGTACAGTTCTGTATATTGCTTAAATTAATGACACTTCATCTTTTATTTTTCAATAAGCCATGACAATGGATTCATTTCCACAGTATGAAAAGTTTACAGAAAAAATTTGGTTTGAGTGTGTTACCAATACATTTTTTTCACATCTGTCTGACACCTGAGTTAGTTCACAGATTTATGTCTCGCAGCAGCATGTCTTAAGTCTTTACTTATGTTGCAAGTAAAATTAAAAGCAAACAAATTTAGGAAGGGTAAAAGGAAATAGGAACAAGTGCATTCTTGTTTCAGGGTTACAGGAACTAGGAGTGTCCTGTGTTTTTCATTTGTAACTTTTAACAGAATCGTCTTACTCATCTTCATCAACTCTGTAGGTCATGTTCTTACTACCCTTCTTATGTCTCTCTGAGGCATTTCCAAAGGGTGTCTGTGTGTGTGAGGTGGAGCAGGACTTCTGAAGTTCTCCTTGCCTAACAAATAAAAACCCCTGATTTCTTTAGCAGACTTCTCAGTTCTGCTGCCATGAAACTGAGACATTTTTTCTGCCTGTAGTGGCAGCTGCATCTTGCTCTTTGGCATGACCTTCCCCTGGTTCTGATCTGTTCTTTGCAAGGAGGAGTGGAAAGGGGCAGAAAAAGTAGTGCTTAGCCGATGGGATTGTGCCTCTTGGGCAGACCTTTGCTTGGCAAGTCCCCCTGTCAGTAAGTCCCTGAGCAGCGCAGCAGTGGTGTTGTGCCTCTCTTGCTCCGTGGCCCATGTAGCACACACTTGCTCTGTATCATGATGCAGCATTTGATATCCATATATTAATGTTCACTTTAATTGAGGGGTCTGCTCTTAGTTGAGTGCAGTGAAAGAATTTCAGGTTTAATTAAAAGAATTTAGGACTAAACAGCTTAGTGGGGGGTTTGGAGTCGTTTTCAGAATTGATTTTTCCTGCCTGTCCTTACCTTCCTCCCAGGTGGTTCTGGATGAGTGCAAGTTCCAGACCATAAGCAATAAATGGGCTTTTTAAAGAAAAGGGATGTTTTAGGTTGTGGTTTTTTTTGTTGGGTTTTTTTTTTTTTCCCCTAGGTATTTGCTAACTGTATGGCTCTGGTGAACCGGCTCTGGTGAACCAGCTCTGTAGCATGCAGCAAGCTGACGATGAAGGTGCTGCCTGGCGTGCAGCAGCTGGGCATGTAGGGGAAAAAAAAACAGCACAAAGGAAGGTGATGGAAACTTGCCTTTGCATATAACCCGAAACACATGGTAATTGATTGCAGGTGCTTTCCACCTGTGGGTTGTAAACAGAAATCAGGAAATTGCAACTGCTCTGCCCTTCCTGTGTTGCTCAATGGCAGGGGAGTGGCAGCCAGGCAGGGAGAAGCCTGGGAGCTGCTGCTGGTGGCTTCTGCTGCGCAAGGAGGCAGCTCTGTCACCTATCCATCACTTTGCTAGTAGGCCTGGTGCAGTGCCATGAGGGCTTTAAGTATAATACAGTATAATATATCAGGAGCTATTGCAGTCTAGATTTCAAGTTGGCAATCTTGGCTTGTTGCACAAGAGCGGGTGAAACTTAGCTTACCAGTGGTGCCACTTACTTAAAAGTCCAATAGGACACGCAGGGTTACTTGGCTGAGTGGTGTGAGCTGATGGCTGGGGGCTCTGAAGAAGTGGAACTCCATCTTTATTAATAAAACCCCACTTTAGTAGCTGTCATGTCTGGTTTAGAAGCACAACTTGAAGGGGAGAAAAATAGGAATTCTTTAAATAATGACTAGATGAGCACTTCAGCCTCTTGTAAAACATCGCTCATTTGGTGCAGTGGAAAGAGTGAACACCTCTGGTAGAGAAGGAAGACAGTGATGTGGGAATAAGGCCTCTAAGGCTGTAGATAGCAACTGAGTCAATCAGCACTAGTGGAAGTGAAGGTGGTTGTCGAGTGTCTCAGTGGGTGGTTGGTGCCGCCAGTGAAAGGATGCTTAGAAAGCAGCAGGAGTCTTTATCAGCAGAAGTCAAACACTGCTGGCAGCTGGCATTGTGCATTTGGCAGTGGAAGTCTCTGCAGTGTATTGACCTGAATTTGTAATTTGTGGTCTGCTCCCATAGGGTTTCAGGCCCTTGATCATCTGAATAAGTTTTCGTGTTCTGAGTGTGGAAATCAGAGGAGTTTTGCATGGTGGTAAAGTATTTGGAAACCAGAGTACCTGGAGGTGCCTCATGTGAGGTGTCTTGTTAGTTATTTCTGATGGATTGTGCTATGCAGACATCTGTTTTCTGGCTGCTGTTGAACAGGAAGGTAATAAATGCAGTCCTGATGGTCAGTGAATTTGGTAGAAGTTTCCTAAGTTAAGTTGCTTTCTTCCTAGGATGGGGACCAGCAGGTGAGGAGAGTGATTCACTCCAGAGAAATGGGGATGTTCTCCCCCATTTAGTTTCCAGGGGGCAGCCAGCTAGGGCATTTGCCTCTCAGATCATTTCTTGTCTTGCACTATGATTTTTACTTGTCTACACAAAATACACCTTTACAGAAATGTACAATAGTTATCCTAAAATTGCAGCAAACTGATCTTGCTGTTGAAATGGGAGGCTCTCTTTTACTGTTCTGTGTATGCATTTGTGAAAAAGTCTTGAAACTTAAACTTTCCTCATTGCTCTTCCAGACACAGTTGAGTCCATGCTTTCAGACTACGACATCCTTTCTCAGTCTAGCATCCAGCAACACTCACTGAAGAAGAGGGACCTCCAGCCTGAGACACACGTAGAGAGGCTCTTAAGTTTTTCAGCTCTGCAGAGGTAATGAAATCAGCAGCAGTGAAACAACTGATGATATTTTTTCCTTCACTTTGTGATAAATAATACACAGTTCCAAACCCAGAAATGGTTATCTTGTTTTCTGTCGTGACTGAACAGTTCTTCTAAGTGAGTGATCTGCGTGGTCATATAGCTTCAAAGAGGCTCAGAGGAAACACAAAAATAGGTTGCACTGTATTACTGTGTTTGCTGAAGCAGCAGTGATTTAAGATTTCTCTTGCTTTGTTCTTAGCTTTAGTTTCATGTAGATTACTTCTGCTGGTTGGGTTGGATCCCACTTACACCTCATCTGGCAACGTCATACTCTTGACTGTCCTCTTGAAAATCTCTGCCTTCAGTCTGGGGAGTGCATGTGGTGTCTTATCCAAGGGATTTATTGTATTTTGTCTTTCAAGGAGGTTTAATTCTCTTCCTACTGAGTGTAAATTTCCCGTTCAGTAAAACACTGTTCTCATGTGCCTTCCCCTGTCTGCAATTGACAAGTATCACGCAAGTTGTTGTGTATATTTTTTTTTTTAATCTCATCGTTTGGTGCAAGTAGTTTTTAAGTACCAAGCATACAAGGTTAGTGGGATCAAATGTCTGACTGTCCCTGTTTTGGACTGCCTCATGCACCCAGGCTTTATGGTGAGGTTGCAATACTGCCAGTGATAATTACAGAATAACTGCAGAAAAATTTTTGACCCAGAGCTTACATAAACTAAGAGCCCATGAAGCTCCTTCCAGAGAAGGTTCTCTGCTTGAGATAGTCACAGAAACTGAAGGCTATATATCAATAAAAATGTGCAGAGTTGATACTTCTGTTTATGGTTTTCTGGCTGTGTTACTTTAGAAAATAAGAACTTCAAGATAATTTAATTTCAAATAGATGAACAAATTCCTTGGCCTGATTTTTCTTCACATAGTTACCAGTAATTGGTTTTGCTTGACTGCAGATGGAGAAGGTGCATGCTGAGCAAACTGAGTGTTCTGGATTTGAATGTTTATGTTTGATGGTTTTAATTAACCATAATTATCCTTTAAAAAATACAGTTATGAGTAACCCAGTATATGTTGTTGTAGCCTGCTTATAAGAATTAATGCTTTCCAACTTCTTTTGGGCCCTCAGTAAAATGAGGACTGGATGTATGGCATGTGTATACTTTGCTTAAAAATAAATGGAAGTAAATTCTTTTACAGGCACTTTAAATTATACTTAACTGCAACTGCTGAACACTTTTCAGAAAGATTTCAAGCATTAATTGTGGATGGTGAAGGCAAGGAAAAGGAGTATCGTGTTCAATGGCAGGACTTCTTCACGGGACATGTGGTTGGTTAGTATGGACTGAACTGTGTCTTAGTGCTGGGAAAGCACAGCTTTGTATGAGTCTCTTGGCCAAAGTAAATGGTGTATTGCCCTCATTGTCATCAGATGTGGTTAGGATGAGCAAGTAAACTTGATTCTTGTGCCCCTTGGGTTTTCTGGGTTTGTTCTTGTGGTGGGTTTGGGTTTTTTTAAGTTTGATGGGGAGTAGGGTTTTATGAGCTATTGAACCAAGGTTCTAAGGTAGTATTCTTCTGTTTAACTTGGTAGAACACAGAAGTATAATTTACTCAAGATGCAACTTGTGATTTTATATATATATATATATATATTTACTTATTTATTTATTTTTCTTTCTTTCTTTCTTTTAAAAGGATGCAGGTATGTTTAATTCAAATTGGAATGTAGGACTTCAGTGTTCCTTGTCCCAGAACACAGTGGCCAGTTAGTAGTGATGTAGTGTTGCCCAGAGTGTTAAAGACTTTAAGATGGTTCTTTGAAGATCACTTTTCTGTAAAGAAAGGGTATCTTGCTCCACTTCAGTCCAGCAGTAATGCTTCTGCTTAGTGGTTTTGATTTTTGTTGCCTGTGCTAGGTGGTGAGAGTCTGTTCCGCTGGAATGCGCCAGCTGATGCCATGAAATTGCTGTCTGATAGTAATATTCATTGGTTGGCAGAAATATTCTGTGTGCCATTCCTAATGCCCAGAGGCATCTCAACACTTTCTGCAAAATTAACAATTAAATCTGAGTCTTGATGACTGTGACCATTGGGAGGTTAAGACTGGGGCTGATTTATTTCTTTTTGTCTTTAAACTGGACAGTATAGTATTCTTCAGAGACTGGGGAAGGTAATTTGGTGTGAAGCTTAGGAACAGTTATAAAAACCCAACCAGTATCTGTGCAGGAGTGCATGCAAATAGAGCTGAATTAATTTGGTTTTCCCTTGCTTATATTAAAGGAGAGCATAATTCCAAAGTTGTGGCACATATTGGGGATGAAGATTTTACAGTGAGAATCAGTACTGATGGAGAAGAATATAATATCGAGGTATGCTTTACTGTTGAAAGCTCTGTCCAGTCATCTCTTTTCCCTGTGGGTGTTTCTAGTTAGTCACACTGACACCTCTGTAGCTCGAAATAGACTTGGTGATGTTTGTTTTAGGGTGGGTGGGGAGGAGGGAGAGAAATATGAAACCAATTTGACTTTTGCAAGTGTTGGATTGTATTAGTGAGTGACATTCTCATGGCATTGCATGGTTTAGATACATCAGGGAAAAGGTATGTTTTAAACAGGAAGGGGATTTAGAAACAGAAATTGATAGTGTTAATGGTGATCATGTCCTCTGAGCAAAGTCAAGGTCTGGAGAGCTTTCTAAACTTTTGGCTTTTTTAATCTTGGAATTTTTTCCTTCCTTAGAGCTTTATTGGAAAATCTGGTATTTTTCCGTGCTTTCTCATTGCTGTTTTTCACCGCTTCCATTGCTTGTGTTATTTTAAACTCTTTGTTTAAAACAACATATTCAACAAATACATAATTAGAGACAATCCTAATGAGTTGTTTGTTGCAGCATATTCCCAGGCACAAGCTGTATTAGAATGGCTGAATAACAGTAATTATGGCTGAGTGTAATATGGGTAGTGTAATTGTCTCCGGAACTAAGGATATGCGGAATTGTGGGTAAACCTGGGAAATCCAGTCATATTAAAATATGAAAATATGTTTAGAGTACCCAAACCACTGTACTTGTGTTTTATATTAAGAGCATATAGTAGCTGTTTGGTTGTGATTTAAGACATTTTTTGTGTTTGTGGTGCAGTGTCATGTCAGAACATTCTTGCTGTCCATGCAGCCAACCCCTTTACTCCTCACTGGCTGCGTCTGTACGGCTAAAGACAGGCAGTGTGTGGAAGCTTCGACTTGCCCTCACTGCTGTCATGTTTTAAACCCAGCCAGACTGCTCGTTTACTCACTCCCCCCCTTTTCCTCCCTCTTTCTTTCCTTCCTCCCCACCCTCCCCACTCCCAGAGGGATGGGGAGGAGAATCAAAAGAATGTAACTCCCACAGGTTGAGACAAAAACAGTCCAGTAACTAAGGTAGAACACAAACCACTAGTGCTACCACCAATGATAATAATGATAAGGGAAATAACAATGGAAGAGAATACGATACCACCCACTGAAAATGAGTCAGACCCAGAAGACCCCATGTCTTTCCAGGTAACTACCAGTTACCGCCCCCGGGCATGATGTGCTGTCATATGGAATACCTCTTTGGCTAGCTTGGGTCAGGTGTCCTGCCTCTGCTTCCTCCCAGCTTTCCCTCCTCCCTGGCAGAGCATGAGACTCACAAAGTCCTTGGTCAGACTAAACATTACTGAGCAACAACTAAAAACATCAGTGTTATCAGCGCTGTTCCCAGGCTGAAAGTCAAAATACAGCACTGCACCAGCTACCAAGAAGGAGAAAAATTGACTGCTAGTGCTAAACCCAGGATAACTGCCTAGCTGTCAGTGTCTGCAGGTCAGCTTCAGACCCTAGTCAACCCCGGGTGAGGTGATGCCTCTGTACATCAGAGATGCTCTGTGCCAGAGACCATTCCCAAAAGGCAGCACAAAGGACAGAGCCACTCTGCCATTGCCTCCCTTTGCTTTCGTGGTCCTCCTGTACTATTTGGAAAGGCTGTGGACCTTTGTATAAACCCCTGGTGCCCTCACACAGTGCGAAACATACGCGCTCAGTTTTGTACTGCAGGCACATGGCTGCTGGGCTGGCACAGCTGTCACATTTCAGGACCTTTTTGGTGTCAGCCAAAAGCACAGTGTGCTAAATCATACTTATCTGAAGTTGAAAGAGCAGTGCTTAAGGGCCACAGGAGACCCAGACCCACGTGCTCTGCAGCCTGTGCTATGCTATTTCCATGCATCTATGATTCTATGATCTGCTATGGGAATTAGTGTCTTGTGTTGGGATTTTGTAGTCCTATGGTTTTGGAGAAGTTTTCACTGCTGTGACTTGTGTAGCTTTGAGTGTTGAAGAGATTGCCTTCTGCTGTGAAGACTTATGTTGTCTGTGCACTTCGATATTGTCCACTGTCTGCCAACTCCTGTGCTTCTGGGCAGTGTGTTTGTTAGCGTGATCATCTCCTGCCTGGCTGTGCCCATCTCCATACTGTTACAGAGGGAGTGGAGGAGCCTGAGATGCCTCCTCAACTTAGAATCATAGTATCAACTAGGTTAGAAAAGACCTTTAGGATCATCAAGTCCAACCATTACCCAATGATTCTATGATTAGTAGCCTTACTGCTGTGGGTGAGATTATCATAGTCCAATGCATTTGTGTGTGTGTACACATAAAGCTGTGGAGATTTGATGGTGCTTACACGTCATTTTTCTACCTATATGCACTTAGTCTTTGCATTCATTGTGTTCTGAATTGGTTGCATTTCTGTTCTTGTGCTGTCAGCCACTGTGGAGATTCATAGATAATGTGCAAGATGAAAGACTGCTTGTCTACAGATCTGAAGATATTAAAGACTTCTCAAGACTGCAGTCCCCCAAAGTGTGTGGTTATTTAAAGCTGAACGAAGAAGAACTGCTGCCAAAAGGACTGGAAGACAGGAAACAAAATGAAGGTGAGAGTCCATACCTTGGGAGAGCAGCATCTTTGAAACAAGTGCTTGAATTCTGGCTGTGTCAGCAAGTAAGATCAAAACCTGGGGAGTAATCTGTGTTGCTGTATAGATAAATCTGTTGAATAACTCGCTATGGTATAGTTCTTTCTTTACAATAAGTTTGAGGACTATTATGAAGAAAATAATTCAAGAATATGTATTTAAAACCCCCAAACGAACCAACAAATACAAAGCAAAACCAAAAAATAAACCCCCAAACTAAACATCCCTGTTCTCCCCCCAGAACTGCACCTAAACTTGCATTCATGTGTTAAATAAGGGAATAAACACAGCAGTGGCAGTTTTAGAATGTTTATTTAATTGTATTTAAAATGTTTACGTTAGCAAGCATCCATCGGGAGAAAAGAGCCATTCCAGAGACCTCCAAAAACACATGCAAGATGCTGGTAGTAGCGGATCATCGTTTTTTCAAGTATATGGGCCGTGGGGAAGAAAGTACTACTATCAACTATTTGGTAAGTCAGTGTACTGTGTTACAGTTTGCTGGAATAAATGAAGGAAAACATAGTGATTCAGTCATTATACCAGCTTACAGCTTGTACTGCTTTTGTACAACATAATGTATTTGCATCTCATGGCTGTGTGTGCTTTTTACCTGGGAATCGTGCTTTAAAAATGTTTTGTAATGATGATACGGCAGTTAGTCTTCAACATTCACTTGCAAGCAAATACCTTCTCTTCATGTAGTTCTTGTTGCTATGCTATTTTCTTCTTCCAGTCAGGACTTTAGGATCTCCTGGATTTTGAAATCAAAACAATTGAAACAAACAATCTGAGCATCTTTAAGTTCCAGCATGTTTAAAACTCATATGACAGGCAAAACCAACTTGTATAGATTTTTTTACTATTATTATTATTTTCCTTCCAAATTCTTCCAAGATCCTCTATGCAGAACATAAAAATGGAAGCAGGTGTAGTAAACAATTTGGTTGTGCATGGGTGTTGTGGCTTAACCCTAGTTGGCCGCTCAGCCCACCCAGACACTGGTTCACTCCTTCCCATGGGAGAGAATCAGGAGGGTAAAGGTAAGACGATTTGAGGGCTGCGAGAAACAGTTTAATAGATAAAGCAAAAGATGTGCATACAGCAAAGCAAAATAAGGAATTAATTCACAGCTTCCCATCATCAGGCAGGTGTTTAGCCATCCTTAGGAAAGCAGGGCTCCATCACGTGTGCTGGTTACCAAGTAACTCAGCCAAAACCAGTACAATGGGGTTGTCTGCCTGACAAGTTTTGTGGAACAGAACACCTGCCCACAGCCTTTCAGCAGGAGTAGAGTGTATGGGTCTGGGGACTGGAGAAAAAAACAGATGAAACCACTTTTGTTTGTCAAGAGTCTCTTTCTGAGCCTGACTCTTTGAAATGCTAACCACTGTATTCCATCTTTGCTGCTTTTTGACCTTTCTGTCCCCAGAAATGTTTACACTCTCCAGGTAACAACTGGTATGTTTGCAGAGATGCTGTTACTCAGCATCTGACACATGGATGAGGCTAACCTACTGTTTGTGGTTCCTGGGTACATGTGTACTGTTAACAACACAGTGATTGGAAAACTAAATCATAAACTATTCTCTAATGACTCTGAATGTCACTCATTATTCTGAGCAAGTTTGATGGTTTATGTGTAGTAGGAGGTGGTTTTTAAGATGATGAGAACAACTTGAAAAGGAAGGTGATGATGAGAACAACTTGAAAAGGATAGTGAGCACTGATGAGAGACTTTCTGGAACCTTGTGCTTGAACCATAATGATGAAAATAATAGGGTTTTGGCTGGGAGAAGGAAGCAAGCCTCAAGGGTCAGTTAAACTAGTTAAGCATTGTGCTAAAACAAAGCAGTAAAAACAACTCCCTCCTGCTCTTCCCCCTCAGAGAAACCTGGAAAACTGGTATCTGAATAAAGCGTTTCCTAAGATGTTTTGTTCTTAATATTATTGCTTTTCCACTACACGGATGAAAGTGATAAATGGGGAACTTTGTACTGCTTTTTCGTTTTTTTAAGGATGAAAAATTTTCAGGGATATTTGATAAAACTCTCTGGATCCAAGTACTGTTGGTTTTGGATCAGTCAGTGTGTCTGTTCTGTTCTATGAGGTTCAATTTTAATTTGGAGTGTTTTTAGATAAGTATGTTGCTGTTTTTCTGAGTGTCTTGAACTTTATTACATGAAAGAACAGAACTAAGTAACTTGTTTTTCTTTCCTACATAGATTGAATTGATAGACAGAGTAGATGACATCTACCGAAACACTTCCTGGGACAATGGAGCCTTCAATGGGTACGGCATACAGATAGAGCAGGTATTCACTGACTCATGCAAAGGGCTTCCAATTTAGAGAATAAGAACATGGTTTAGATATCAGGGTTTCTGATTATTTTATCTGGATTAGAGCGAAAATTATCAAATCCTAAATTCTTAACTCCAGCCAGCAGCACTCTGAAATCGCATCTTGCCAGTGGTGGTCTTAGTGATGTGACACAGCATGCTCATTTTCAGTTCCTTGCAGCATTTGAGACGGGAGTTTGCAGAGAGAGTATTTCCATATTTAATCTCAATTCAAAGTTGCCCTTTTTTCTTCCCTGAATATGATCAGTTCTTGTTTCTGTCAGACATACTTATATGCATGTATGTGATGTTTGTGTCTATGGCTAGTGCTTAGCTTACAAAGCCTGAGTGGACTGAAAAACAGATGAAAAAGCACAAATCCTGCTTAATAGCTTTAATGACTCCCTTAGGCATCATGATATCATGATAGCATGGAGACTGATATAGGGTGGACATGGGGGATGTAGTGACTTCAATGTATATGATTGCTTCAGAAATCTGGGAAAGGGCATTAAAAATAAGAGGAATCCATCAGCTAGAGCACTGCAAGAGCTGTGATGTGAGACTAATGGTACAATATAGCTGCCTGTTTGCTGGGAACAGGCCTGCAGGAACAAGGAAAGAGAGTCAACTGGGAAGGGGGAAATAACATAATGCACTAATTCCATATTACTGGGAAAGTAGTAGTTATTTAAAATACATTTTGCTTAGCTAGGAATAGTTCGGAATTATTTATACTCTAGATGCAAGTCCTGGTTGTATTTGGTTCTTTTGATAGAGTGACATGCATCTTAAAGCAGAATGTTACAGTGAAAACTGTTGATATTGCCCTAATGATTGTAACTGGTGTATCTCAACTAGCAGAGACTGAAAAGGTAACATTAGAAGCATGCTGAGTCTGAATTTTTCTCCTTGCAGATGTATTGAGACATTTAAGATTACATTGAAAACTTTTCTGTAGCAATAAAATTGACCCAAATTCCTCTACATTGTTATTGCCCTTTTTGAAATGTAGATTATCATCCATAATGAGCCCAATCTTGTAAAACCTGGAGAAAAGCATTACAATATGGCAAAAAGTTACCCCGATGATAAGAAAGATGCCTGGGATGTGAAAATGCTGCTAGAGGTATGTTGTAACCCTTGAAAACGTGTGCCCCTTACAGAGAATTACTCATTCCTACAGCTGCTCTGTAGTAACAGAGGAAACTCCTCTACTTCCTTTGTATGACATGTACATGTTACACAAAGTCAAAGTAGCTGATGTGCCCTGTAGCCTGTGGTAAAGGCCTCCACTGCATAAGTACAGAGCACACACCAATTAGTATTCTTAACATGTGGCCTGAGTCAGTAAGGCAGTCTTGATATGTCTGGCTCTGAGACTGGTTGCCTTGTGACCTTCATCAAATTACTGTATTTGGTTTTCCCCTCTCTGTGAAAAGGGGAAATGAATCGACAAGTTGCATAAATGAATGTGCCAGTGTACTTGGGTATTCATTTAATTTTCTACAGCTCTGTAGGACATTTACACAGCTGCTGTTTTCTGACTTAACCAGATCTAGAAGGTGCTTGTCTGGCTCATTAGATAAATGTTCTTGTCTGTAGACTTGTAATGTGCACCATAAATCGTCTTACAAAGATCTGATTTTCTTTTTTTTTCTTCTCTTTGAAGCAATTTAGCTTTGATATTGCTGAGAAAGCAGCTCATGTGTGTCTTGCTCATCTCTTCACATATCAAGATTTTGACATGGGAACACTTGGATTGGCTTATGTTGGCTCTCCCAGACCTAACAGCCATGGTGGCATTTGTCCTAAAGGCAAGGCTGTTTCTTCTTCTGTCCCAGTTTTGGGTTGAAAGCTGATTTTTGTGATTTGTATTTAATCTTCTTCTCTCAAGGAGCATGATGTGTTATTTGCCTAGACTCTAGCCATAGAATCATAAACCAGTTTGGGTTGAAGAGACCTGAAAGATCATCTGGTTCCAACCCATGTGCCATGGGCAGGGCCACTTTCCACTAGACCACGTTGCTCAAAGCCTTGTCCAGCCTGGCCCCGAACACTGCCAGGGGTGGGGCAGCCACAGCTTCTCTGGGCAAACTGTGCCAGCGCCTCACCACCCTCACAGTAAAGAATTTATTCTTAATATCTAATCTAAATCTCCCCTCTGTCAGTTTAAAGCCATTCCCCTTTGTCCTGTCACTACAAGAACATGTAAAAAGTGCCTCTCCAGCTTTTTTGTAGGCCCCTTTTAGGTAACGGAGGGCTGCTTTAAGGTCTCCCTGGAGCCTTCTCTTTTCTGGGCTGAACAAGCCAAACTCTTAAGGTAGTTGGTTGTTGGGTAGAATAGATGGCCATTTTCTTGGCTAGAGCTGGAGAAATAGAAGGGTAAAAATCACTGAACTGGTGTGAACAAGCTGGCTAGAACAAACCCTGGACCAAGGGCTGCTTTGTGTAGGTGTGTCTTGCAGTAGTTCTGGAATGGCAGATGCCTTGGAATTTTCTTATATTTTTGCCTTTATTACAATACATGAGCTGTTTGTGCTCTGCTTGAAGGAGTCCCCACTCCAGAAGCTGGCAAGAGGCAGGGTCTCACTGGTGAGCTTGTGAGAGCAGTGAAGCTGTTCATGTCCTTGAACAAGGATCCCTCTCTCCACCAAACATGCCTCAAAACCAAGAAAAATGTCAATTTTTATTTATTTCTCACTTCTATAGCTTATTACAGTCAAATTGCAAAGAAGGACATCTATCTGAACAGTGGCTTAACCAGCACCAAGAACTATGGCAAGACCATCCTCACAAAGGTAGGAAAGTATCCTTCTCTGCAGAATGTGACTATTTGGTGTACGTGTGTGTGTGCTGATGTATGCCATAGGATTGTGACAGGTTTTTTTGTGCTCTCTTGGGACCAAGATGCTGGCTTTCCAGTTGAGGCAGGGACAAGGGGTAAGTCACAAACCCAAAATCACAGTTTTGATTCTTGCTGACAAGGGGAGTCAGGAGTGAATGGAACTGAAGGTTGAATTCATGTCAGGACAGGAATGAGGAAACTTAGCTTGTGTCTAATAGGAGCTGTAGTTGTCCGGATATAAACATGATTTTGATATCTAAAGATGAATTTAAATGAATTTTGCTTAAAAAACACAAACAAACCAGAAACAAAGCCTAAACAGCAAAAACCAAACCAACCGCTCATACAGGACAAGCAGAATTATAGAACAAGTAGCCTCACAGTAAGCATAAAATTAGTCTTCTGACTTAAATAAGAACAAGCTTGCATGTTTGCTGTTACTTTCAGCTACAACATGCAGGCAGATGATTGTGTACTCTTGGTCTGTTCCATTTGCATGGTAAAGCAGTGAAATCAGAATGGGCAAAGTAGGAGGTTTAGTTTGAGCCTTTTAATGAAATTCTTCTACCTGATTTTTGTGCATTCTGTGAAAGTAGAGCAGATAACAGTGTAACAGAGAGGGTGTATACTAAGCCTAATTGGTGCTGTCTGGATGTTTTATTTTTTTCATAGTTGATGAGATAGTAAATACAAAATGGCCTGATATGAGCTTTGTCTCACTAGTAAAGGTACCAGAGCAGTGCCCGTATTTGCATGTACCTTATCTTTGCAGTTGGGCACATTTCTCTTTTGCTCACTGCTGCTGCATTCTCAGCTGTGTTCTTCTGTAGCCTGATTATAAAGGGAATTCATGATTAATGTGTGGGCTAAAACTTGGAACAGAAGCTGTCAAGAAGCTAGGAAAAAAGAAGACAGTGAAGCTTTGTGCTAGAGGGATATTGACAAAGAGCTCTAGCTGTTGCCATGCTATTTGCATTTGTTGTTCAATATCCAAGCTGGCTGCTTTGGATTACAAAAGAAATAGAGTTTGCTGTCTTCCCAGTGGCAGACACAAAGCTTGGGATGAGGCAGCAGGACTGGTACGGATTGGTTTCACAGGGAAAATGCTGCATGGTGTACACTTAGGCTTAAAAGAAGAAAAAAACTGCTTAAAACCCATCCCCAAATTAAACGCAACAAAGCACAGGAGTGATCTCTGGGCAGCTCTCCTGTCTCTGCCTCTCGCGTTAGCTGTGCCTGTATGGGAACACTGATGCTGCTTGTTTTAATGCTTGGTCCTTCCTGTGCCTGCTCAACAGCTGAAATGAGGGTTAGCTCCTCAGACCCGCTTCTTTCTCCTGCACTTCTCCATTTCCTTGTGCTTAACTCTTAGTTCTGTGCTAATTTTGCTGGTGGTTGCCACCTTGTGAACTTACACCATCTGCTGGTCAAGGTGCTGTGATGAGGTGTGCAGCAAGGCAGAGCCGCTTTGGGATCCTCAGCACACCGAGTCCTGTCTTGCATAAATGATGTTGGAAATCCATCCCTGCTGGGCCACATCTGTGGGTGTCTTTCAGAGTAATCATGCAATAGAAAAGCTTATTCAGCACTCCTCATGTCATCATCCTTTTAGAAGAAGTAGTTCTAATGGCAAGATATGTTAAACAAGAGATTGACTAATCCTAGTAGCTGGTGTTTGTTTGGATTAGGGTGGGTATTTTTCCAACTCTTTATGCCTTCCAGCTATTTAAAACCAAATTTTTATATTTTAATTACCTGCATTGTATTGAAAACAAGATCAGTTGTTATTCTAGAACAGCGTTTTGACTTCAACATTGGTTTAGTACTCAGATCTAGTCCTGGAACTTGCCTTTGGAAATGGACCATAATTTTGCTTGCTTTCAGTTCCCAACTTCAAAAAACCCCAAACCAACAATATTCATAGAGAAATCCCTTTCCATCTCAGTGCATTTTAGAATTGCTGGTGCCTTGGAAGTAGGTGGAATCTTCTGCCCTGTCCTGGTCAGACTAATTTTTTTCAATACTGCTTGTTCCACATTCAAAGGAGGCTGACCTGGTTACGACGCATGAACTCGGGCATAACTTTGGAGCAGAGCATGATCCTGACAGTCTGCCGGAATGTGCCCCCACTGAAGACCAGGGAGGGAAATACGTTATGTATCCAATTGCTGTCAGTGGAGATCATGAAAACAACAAGGTATAGTTGCATAGTTTTGCTTCCACATAAAAGTTTCTGCTGTGCTCAGTGACCTTTTGCATGGACAGTTTATTTAGTTAATAATTCCTGTAGCTTGAAACCATTAGGAATGTAATAGATTAGCTGTCAGAAGAAAGCATACTTGCATGCTGTTGGGTTCTCTGCAAGGTAACTCATCTTTGGATTTGGAGTTTCACTGGAACTCATAGCACCTCCAGGTGCTTTTTTAATTAGTTACTTGTAGTTTGCTGTGGCCACATGCTGCTGAAAGCGAGTCATCAGCAGGTCACATACAGTACCTTCAGTACCAAATAGTGTTTGGGTGGTCCATAGCTATTCTTGTTGGAGAGAGCTTGCCAGACTCCACTGCCATGGTGCTCACCAGTTGCAGAAGCTCGCGCTGGCAGTGTGGCTGTTCTGCATCGTGCCTGTTCTGCAGAAGAGAAACCAAGATTATCCAACCAAGCAACGATTAGTCTGCAGTCTCTCCCCAGTGCTACACCTTCACAGCCTGTCTTGGGGTGGCTGCTGGTGCTCCTGAAGCTGTGGGAGAGCTGGAGTTTGTTCTGTGACCCAGAGCCTGTGGGTGCCTCTGCATTGTAATGCAGCAGCGTCCTTCATGGAACCGTTACTTTCCCATCTTACAATGTTTCCAAGGTAGCAAATTGGCAGTGTAGAAGGAATTACCACTTTCTGAGACATCAGGATCGGGAGGCATAAGGATGCGGAAGCTGTCTTAGATGCTACTTGTTGACAGAAAAGTACCCTCCTCAGTGCTGCTCTTTCCCCTCATGACTCTAGATGTTCTCAAGCTGCAGCAAAAAATCCATCCATAGGACCATAGAGATCAAGGCCCAGGAGTGCTTCAAAGAGCGCAACAACAAAGTGTGTGGGAACTCCAGGGTGGATGAAGGGGAGGAGTGTGATCCTGGCCTCTTGTACCAGCAGGCTGATCCCTGCTGCTCTGCAGACTGTAAACTGAAAGATGGTGCCAAGTGCAGGTAAGGGGAGACATGCTGCATCTTCTCTGAGCATGGGAGGGAGCAGTGGGTGGACTGGAAGCTCCTAAAGCCACCTGCAGTGTCACAGACCTGTTTCCTGTCCTTAAGGCTGAACACGTGAACTGAAGACGGTAAAGGATTTTGGGAGAGGCTGCTGTGTGCACACACTGTTGGCATACATGAGGTTTTATAGCATTCTGTTACTTATCCTGAGAAGAGTCAAGAGCTGCAGGCTTGAAGATTATTCGTGGTGTTGTTATTAAGCAAACATAGGCCATCAAAAATTAATATCACAATTTTCCTGTGCAAACTTGCTGTGCAAGTACAATTTTTGCTTGTATTGCCAGGTGGCTTTAAACTGGGATCACATCCTGGTATTGTCAAGACTGCTGCAAAATGTGCTTGAGCAGACAGCACACTGACAGCACTGAGTCCTCCTTCTGTTATTCTTGCTCTTCAGGGTGTTTGCAGCCCTGCTACCAAGCAGTGTCCAACCTGTTTTCAGAGGTCAGCTTTGCACCGTGTAACAGTAGAGAGCTCGTGTACCTCCTGCTGTTGAGCAAGAAATTCCCTCCATTTCAATGAGCGTTTTTGTACTAAGGGCCTTCTTGCGTTAGGTGCAGAGTATCTCGAGAGCAGTAGACCTTCAGGACAAATGGAAGGAGGGCATACGCGTGGGGAAAAAGAGTGGAAGATCTTGTTGAAAGCTGCATAGCAAGTGACAAGAAGAGGATCTAAGTCCCTTGAATAAACATAGGGGTCCCTGTGTTGTTTCTCATTATGATGTACTTTCTATTTACCTTTGATAAATGAAGAGTGAGCGGGTGTGTAGAAAGGTGGTGGTGTGAGGGGCAGAACTGGCAAAAGTTTTGAATCAGTCAGTCTCTAAGTAGCAGTCTTTTTTTTCCCCCCAATTGTCCTTTCTCCCTGGCTTTGTGCTTGTATGTCTTCTTTAAATAACTGCTTAGTATTTCTGTCTCTCATTTTGATCTTTCCATAGTGATCGGAACAGTCCCTGCTGTAAAGGCTGCCAGTTTGAAAGTGCACAGAAGAAATGCCAAGAAGCCATAAATGCTACTTGTAAAGGAGAGTCTTTCTGCACTGGTAGGACATGATTCTGTCTCCTTTATGTCAGTTAGCCAAATGCTTCAGGCTTAGTGTCCTGTTCAATCTGCTTTCAAACTAGTGCCCTTTAGTCATCCGGTACATGTAATTTTAGAGACCAGTTAAGCATCACACAATTGCCCTATAATAAGTTTCATTGTAGTTCAGGAGGCACTTGGTGATTTATGCCCAGAAGAACGTGAAAACTGTTGGGTGGGGGTTTTTCTGTCTTATTTTTATTTTTTCTTTTTTGTTTCTTTCCCTTAAAAGAAAAAAAAGCAAAACAGAGTGTGCCACTGGCACGGGACAGGAATGAGCTGAATCTTGCTATAGATCTGCAACTCTGCTGCACTTCCCCTCTTGTTTACTTCCTCCTCATAATCTTTCCTGGAGGCAAGGAGTCAAGTCCAAGTGCCTGCTTTGCTGATGGTGCCTCCAGGGCCTGCCACCTACTGCTTGGTTGCCAGACTGCCACAATGCCTGAGTTGTTCAAAGCCTCCAGAGCTTCTGTTGCCTCTCGGAGGAGCTGGCAGGCAGACAGCAGATGAAAGCCAGGAACAAGCTGTTGGGGTCCTCCCACTGGGATGAGTCTGAATTTCCTTCATCTTCTTTTTGATTCTGCACACTTAAGTATTCTAACACAGTCCTCCCCATCTGTAGGGAACAGCAGCGAGTGCCCCCCTCCAGGGAATGCTCCAGATGACACAGTCTGTGTGGACATGGGGAAGTGCAAGGATGGGGAATGTGTCCCTTTCTGCGAGAGGGAGAAGAACCTGCGGTCATGTGCATGCAATGGTGGGTGACATAGGACTGAACTGAACGGTGTGTCTCATCTCTGCTCCTTGGAGCGAGCTGGCTTTGCTGTGGGCTGGCCTGGTGGAGGGCTCAGTTTATGGTCTCTGAAAAAGTTTAAACCCTTGTTTTTTTCAAGGCTAGTATTTTCTGTTTAGAAAAGGAATGTCAGTTTCTTCCTGTCTTCTGGTGGTCTGGGTTGAAGAAATTAAGATAAGACTTCTGGTCTGGCACCTCAGTTAAAGGAGAGGGGTTAAAGGAAGTAAGGAGAGTAAAAGGAAGCGTTCAAGGCCAGGTTGGATGTCGCTTTGAGCAACCTGATCTAGTGGAAGGTGTCCCTGCCCATGGCAGGGAGGCTGGAACTAGATGATCTGTAAGGTCCTTTCCAAACCAAACCATTCTGTGATTTCTATGGCTCTCCTACCTTTCAGCCCCTCTGCCACAGGTGGACAGAAGGGATTGTAAGGAGATCCCAACAACCTCTGGACCAGACATCTGGCAGAGGAGTGGTGGCCTTCAACAGGTGGTTAAAGAAAGATTTCAAAGTGGTTACAGTGCCTTGAGAGCACAGGATTCCTAAGTCCAGGCCCATGCTACTGTAACCCTACCTGTTGTATACTTCTGTCAGTAAGTTTTACTGCTCACTTGGTCTCTGTATCATCTTTTAGATATGGTAGAGCAGCTGGGAGTAGAAGAGCTTCACAGGGGCAGCATTAGCAAGTGCTGTGAGCCCCAGTGTTTGAGATGGAGGCATAGCCAATGAGAACCCAAAGCCCAAGGAGACACTTAAATCTGCCTTTTAGATATCTTTGGAACCTCTTTGCTGGTTTGTTGAGTCCTGCAGTGTTGGGCTATCAGCGTGGAGAGCTTGGTCTCACTGTGTCCTTTAATATGTTGCACAAGGCATGTGATGGTTTCAGGCTTGGTCGGGTCATCAGAGTGCCTGAAATTGGGCAACTTACACAGCTGTGCTTTCCCCTTGGGGAAGCTGGGCAGGAACATGGTCAGCCAGAGGACATGTGGGGTTCCAGGTTGCAGGTGACTCTTGGTGCATCCAAGGAATGAGTTTGCTGCTTTGTTGCAGAAACGGATAACTCGTGCAAGGTGTGCTGCCGGGACGAGCAGGACCGGTGCGTACCGTACGTCGATGCCAATGACCAGTTCCTGTTCCTGCGCAAGGGGAAGCCCTGCACCGTGGGCTTCTGTGACACCAACGTAAGCTGTCCCTCATGTCGGTGCACTGCATGTTCTGCTTCTGTGGCTGGTGGCTTGGAGTCCTCTCTGATGAGGACTGTGCTGGTGAAAGGAAAACAAAAGCTTGACAAGCTGCTGAGCAGGGTGATACTGCACAGGGTAAATATTGAAGGGTGTCTGAGGCTGCAGGTGGAAGCGAGCTCTGCAGAGACCAGTGTGAGGTGAAGCCATTACCTTCTGCCATTGCTTAGTATCCCTTCCACTGCTCTGTGGGGCTCAGCCAGGTGGCAGGTTGTGTGATGGAGGTGAATGGGTACTGCAGTAAGTTCAGCTGGGTTAGCAGCACTTGCTGCTTGAGTTATTCTGTTAGACCAATTCATTTTGACTAGAATAATCCAGGTCAGAGAGCAGTCCATGAAGATTTGGCTAGCAGTATCTGAAGGGAGCATTGAGCCTGTGGCAAGGAGACCACTGAGTTGGTGGTGCTCAGTGACTGGTTTCATGGCACAGCTGCACAGTAACATTGCCTGCAGACCCCCATGGTCAGAGCTAAACTGGGTGTTGGCAGAAGTCAGTCTGGGAGGGCAGGGGCATGCTTCAGCCCTTCCACTGGCAGAACAGGAAAGGCTGATGAGCTACTGTGTTAAACCTGTACAGCCAGATCTGGGGGCCTGTCTGTAACCCTGGGCTCCTGAGAGCTGCAGACTTCTCAGTGGGCAATGGGAGCTGAAGTTTCCAGCACTTAAACCTCTCCAGAAACTTCATTTTACATCCTTTAACATGGGGCGAGGATGGGTCAGTTTTTCCCATGTTTCAGATGTCTGTTTTAGACAGCAGCACAATTGAAACTTTTGCCAAAGATGAAGGCAGTAAAAATGAACTGCTGCTACTGGGCATGAGTGAATCTGTATTCAGAATACAAGTCAAGGTCTGCTCTCTAGTCTTCATTTCATTACTGTCTCTGTATCTTCTGCTGTCTCCAACACAGCAGTAGTTAATGCTTAGCAGACATAAGATTAGTTTGTAAGTAAGTGTTTACTTTTGCAGGGCAAATGTGAGAAGCAAGTACAGGATGTGATTGAACGATTCTGGGATTTCATAGACCAGCTCAGCATCAATACTTTTGGTAAGATATGTAACCATATCCTCTGGGGGGTTTTCAGTTCATGCCATGACCCTCTCGAGCCTCAGAGGCTGGCTGGCTGCATTCACCTGTACACAAGGGTAGCCAGTAGCTGTGCTGCTGGTGTACATAAACACGTTTTTGCATAAAGTTTGACAGTGCTGATGGTGCCTCTTACAGGCTGAAAGGATGGAGAATTATTTTGCATTTTTTCACTCCATTATTTTCTAGGCATCTTCCAAGCCTGTAAAGATGGTGATAGCTTCTTATCTGAATACTAACAGTAGGTCAAGGAGAGAAAAGGGAGTAACAGGCAATCTTCTTAGAGGCCAACTAGTTTAAAGTCAGCCTCCATGGTCTTGATCTGCACTGTGCAGTCCCAGCAGATGTAGCCCCCAGTGTCTTGCTCTGCAGTACTGGAACCATACAAAACCTGTTCTTAAGCCAGTGCTGTGTAATGAAGTACTGCATGCACTCACTGTATGTAATGCTGTGCTGCACAGTGCAATTATCTGGGCTTGGGGCTTTCAGTCCTCAGTTCTAGGGTCAAAAATCTTTCTTAGGTAACTGTTAAAGCTCTTTAGCCCATGCAGGTCGGGGCACTTCATGTATCTTTGATGTTCATATATTTTGTTTGTGGAGGCAGGTAGTTATCACACAACTGTAAAACCAGATTGGTGACAGACTTGCAGTGTATCTTGCATACATGAGAGGGGCAGCTTGGCTAGCTCAGTATAGCTTCCTCCCAGTCAGCTTGTATTTGCAGCCTGTCAGCATTTCTCACCAGAGAACAACAGAGGAAAAAGCCTCTTCTTGTTAACATGTTGGATACAACTTCAGCAGATCGTAGACAGTTTATCCCTGCCTAGTCCTGCAGCCTGTGCTTCTCCCAACAGTTCTGTGGCTTGGCTTCCATGCACAGGGGCTACAGAATGGGCATAGACCTGTATGTTCATGAGAGCGAGGTGTCCCTGCCCATGGCAGGGGGGTTGGAACTTGATGATCTTAAGGTCCTTTCCAACCCTAACTATTCTATGATTCATGATTCAACAATATCAGGTTGGATTAAACAGTATTTGGGAGGTAACTAACAGATTTGAACTGATTTCACAGGGAAGTTCCTAGCAGATAACATAGTGGGCTCTGTGCTTGTCTTCTCCTTACTGTTTTGGATTCCTCTCAGCATCCTTGTGCACTGTGTGGTGAGTAAGCTGTCTTTGAGACTCCTGCTTTGTGGGATTGAGCTGTAAGAGAGCACCTTTTGTATATGAAATGGCAGATGTCTGTGGGAGAAGGTGATGGCAAGCTCTTAGCAAACCTCACGGGGGAATCCAGCATGTGTAAGACTTACTGCTCCTTCAGTAGGTAAAATTCCTGCTAAACTCTGCCAGGTTCTGGCAAACCCAGACCCAGTGCTCCCATGACTGGAGCCCTTCCCATTCTTTCCTAGGCTGTCTTTCTTCCTCTGCTTCCAGAATTTTACCCAAGTATAATTCTGGTAACCTCCATTTAAGTCAAAGTTTTCTAAAGCCCTACTAAGAAATAAGATAACATTTTCTGGGGAGATCCAGAGAGGGAAGTGGCCTTGATTGAGCTTGGGTAGATGGATAAAAAGAGTGAGCTCCTGGCAACTGGGAGTGTGGGCATGTGGCATGATGCTGATGGTGGTGTAGAGGGTTGTGATGCTGGCGGTGGTGAAGCATGGGAAAAGAGCCCCACACACTGCTGTGGTCTTGCAGGGACACAGGCACAGAGACCTTGCAACTGGGAAACTAACTTTTTTATTTTGTGTACAGGTGTTTTGGTTTGCTTTCATTTGTTTGTTTCCCAATAGGACAAGAAATTGGACAAACAGTACGAGGAGAACACAAAGTCCCTGTTTTGTCCCAGTGTAAGTTGTCCGAATACAAACTGGCAGAAAGCTCTCCAGTGCGTGTTAGGAAATGTGAACCTAAGGTGTGTGCAGAGTATTCATCACAGAAGTGGCAGTAGAGAGCCCTGGAGCCTCATGCCTCACACTGCCCATGATGAATCAGTTTGAGGAGAAACTCTGTTCTTGACCAAGCCTATGTTTGGTACATCAAGCACTGCAGCTTGGTGGGCTCTGATTCTCCCTTCCTGTAAGAGCTGTGTCATGACCTTGTTGCCAGAGCAGCTCTCTTGCTGCAGCTCCCTCCTGGGCAGGAAACCACTTCACTGTGTGGAGCACTGCTGTGAGCACCTACGTATGGGGTCCCCTCAGCACACATCCATCACTCAGCAGCTTCAACCACAGGCAGCTTGTTCCCAGCCAAGCGGTGTCAGTGAAGCACAAGGCTCAGCGGGGCAGCACTGCACGAAAATCTCTGCTAAATGTGGTGTCTGTGCTGCGGTGGCTGTGTGCAGGAGTCAGCTTCTAGTGACCAGTTGTGCTGGAGCCTTCCAGTTCTTTATGTGAAGGTGCAGGGACCCATCAGATACACATCTGACCCTTGTAGATACCGAGCTGGGAGACGAGCAAAGAAGTGTCTATATAAACTTTAATAACAGTCCAGGACGTAGATTTCTGGGTATCCTGAGAGCCCAATTCTTATTAATAACTGAAATATTTGGTTAAAGAAATGTTTTGTAATGGAAGGGGAACAAAGCCTTGCAGAATCTCTTGCGCAACCACTGAGGGAAGCATACTGAAGTGAAAGACCACTGAGGTCATCTACTCTGACATAACTGAGGGTAATCTTAGTTTAAGTGCCCCATACCTGGTCGTGAGTGCCATAAGTCACCCTAGAGGTTATACCTGAATTCAATCAAGAAAATCCCATAAGCGGGTGTAAGCAACAGAGCACGGGTATAGTTAATGGGCTCCTCACTCCAGGGGGGATGCAGTAGACTTCAAACTGCTGTAACAGAGGTGCAGGTTCTCCTCAGAAAGTGCCCATTCCTTTTGAAAATGGGGCAAAAAACGAACCCCAAACTAGACGCAGTGATGTGGCTGCTTGTGTCTTGCAGAACGTGGAGATGCTCAGCAGCCTGGACTCTGCCTCTGTTCGAATCATCAAGCCCTTCCCTGCGGCGCAGTCGACGAGCCGGCACCAGCCGCTGCAGCCCATCACAGCCGTGCCTGCTGTCGCTGCAGCGCCCAAGCAGGACCACCAAAGAATGGACACCATTCAGGAGGACCCAAGCACTGACTCCCACATCGATGAGGACGGGTTTGAGAAGGACCCTTTCCCAAATAGTAGCTCAGCCGCCAAATCTTTTGAGGACTTGACAGACCATCCTGTCATTAGGAGCGAGAAAGCTTCGTCCTTCAAGCTGCAGCGCCAGAACCGGGTGGACAGCAAAGAAACAGAGTGCTAGTGTCTTGCTGCCTTCCAAATGTGTGACTTGTGTCTGCAAAATAAGGATCTAAAACCATTTCATTTATATAAATATGAATATATGTATATATATTTTTGTGAGGGAGTGGGAGAAATAAGGAAGTGACCTACTGCAGATGCTGGTCATGTGTATGACCTTCCTTAAATTACATCTATTAGAGCATTATATCTTTTAAAAAGGAAAATCCAAACTCAGACTGGCTTGTATTTGAAGCTTTTTGGGTTTGTTTTTCTACTTCCTTGACCTTTAACATTTCCTTCGACCTGTGGTGCAAAACCAAATCCTGCTGGATATTGGATTGTGTATATCAGCCGTTTTTATAACTTAATATTTTGTAGTCTGACAGCACTGATTGATAGACAGAATTAAGGGCCTTTTAAAAACAAGGTGAAAACACTGCAGTATGTTCCATATAGAGTAGATCATTTAGCAGTTTAAGGTACACGTAAGCCAAAGCCTAAACAAGATGCTTGAGAGCAGAATGGGAGTAGCGAAACAGATAAAAATATGGTCTCATAGCATTGAATGATGATGCATAATTGGAATCAAGAATCTTACCACATACAGCTTCTAAAGAAATAAAGAGCATAGGGAGACTGTTAAACCTTACGTGCTGCATGGAACTGGCCGTTCAGCATGAAACTTGTGTCTCTAGCAGTGAGGTTGTCTTGTCTCCATGGCAGAGAAGGGCTTTCTGTGGGAGTTTCCCACTCTGCGCTTGTGTGTTGCCAGGTATCTGGTAGGAGAAGTGTAAGGGAAGAAATCATTTATGTGGATAGGCAGCTGTTTACAGTTGTTGTTTCAGTGCAGAAATGTTTCTCCAGATGTTACTTGGAAATAACTAACACTATTGTTGAGATGTTCAAAGAGCTGAACCTCAGATTTCTGGGGCCTGTGTGGCCTTTGGAAGCTCCTACTGCATAAGGAAATGGAGGATGGTGGAATTCACTCTGTTGCGGGGGGCGGGGGGAGGTATTTGTTTAATTGTGAATTTGATTAAAAAATAAAAGAACCTTTGTTAAACGTACAGGGTCAGTGTAAGGAGGAGACATCACGAGTTCAAATTCCCACCCAGGGGGTAAAATGTGATGTTCAAAGCAGGCAGTTTAATGGTGTCCTCTGGTACACCCGGAGACCTGTAAGGTAAGCAGGACTGGCACAGGAGGGTTGGTTTAACTCAGTAGCAGAGGGACTGACACAGTGGAGCCACAGAGCAACTGATAGTAAAGCAGCATCTTAGTTCTGCACCTGTTCTCTCCCACAGTAATCTGTGGGTAAAACTGACCTAAAACATGACAGGGTAGAACCATTTGAACTGTTACAAGTCAGTGCTCAGGACAGAGGTGGAGGTGGATTTACATATGAGGGGAAGTAACCGCTGCGGTGCAGAAGAGATGGTGTGAGAGCCCCTCTCTTCCCCACCGCGGACACTTGTTACACTAATACTTGAACCTTGTGTGCCTTACGGTATTCCTGTCTGAGTAGCTATTGTGTTTTATATACTGGTTTTGAACTTTGTTTGGGGGTTTTGTTGTTGTTGTTTGGGTTTTCTTTTTTTGAGTCAGTGCAAAGTCCATGTGAGGAGTTAATTTAATTCCCAATACAATAAAAGCTTTTTATATTAAAAAAATTCTATACTTAAGAGCTGTTTCTGCTCAATCCTTTTAGAAAAGATCTGAATTCTTCAGTGAATTCCTGTGTTAGGAGTCTGGCATGCAGCCAGCTGTGAGCCAGTTATTTCTGCACCCGGAGGCTTGCCCTGCTTCCAGCCGGGAATGGAGCCAGTTTCACCACAAGCCCTGTGGATTATGGTCAGCCCTGATGGTGAAATTCAGGTGAGGTGTGGGAGCGTGTTCACATGCCTTTTCAGATGGGAAGTCTGTACATGTGTGTTCTTGGCACTGAGGGCTTTACTCCCCAAAAGAAAAGGAGGCAGTGGCAGGCACTCAAAAGCATGAAGATTGAGGTTTGGAGCATGCCCCAGAGTGAGCTGTAGTCCCAAGGCTGTGAAAGCAGTACAGGCATAGTGTGTTCGGAACCTCAGAGGCAGGAAGATGTGTAGGGAGCCCCAGCCTAGTCCAGCCACTCTTTACTATATGCATTTGTTACAGGCAGGACACTCCAGTCTAATAGTCATAAATACTGTAAGCAATCAAACTTGCTTCTGGTCTAGCTCCAGGCACAGGCAAAATAAGTACTTGTGCTGCAGTCTGTACCACTGTTGCATAGTGGATGGTAGGTCCTGGCCAACTTGTCCTGGTCATTTAATGGAGCAAATGCAGTCATATGGCACTAACAGCTCTCTCGTCAGGCCCTGCACCGCTTTGCAATCTGTGCCTATATGCAAGAGGTGGGTGTAAAGAAGCTGGTGCCCACATAAGTTAAACACCCCCTGCTCTGACCTACAATCTGTCACTTATCAAAAGCCTCACTAAATCTCAGATAACTGCTTTCACTGCTGTATTACATCCAAACAAACTTAACTGACATTAATAGCTCCTAAGACCGTCCACACTACTGCCTCTTACTGGCTCCTAGGTGCTCAAAGCTAGTAGATGGTATTAATTAAAGTGTAGTTCCTAAAACTCAGGGCAGCCTCTGTGAGAGACTCATTTTCTTCCAAATGTGCCAAGGAAAAAGCTGCTCACCCCCACAGATGTTCACACTACCAGCACATGCAGCATCCTGCCGAGCTACCCCATGACACACCCACAGTGATCTCATCTTTTATTCTCCACAGCCCAAGAGAAGGGGACAAGGCAGAGCACTGTAAGGGGGTCCCCCCACCTCCCCTTGCCCAGGCATGCATTGTCTGTGCTCCTGGCAGTGGCTGCTCACAAGCAGAGTGGCTTTGTCCAGCAAGGCTGCTTCAGCTCCTCACTGCAGGGCATCTGGCAGCAGAGTGGCCTCAGGGTGTGTGTGGTCCACATCACGCCAGTATGGAAGCAGGAAAGGAAGAGCTGACAGTTTTTTTTCCAGGCGTGACCACAGTTGTGCTGCTAGAAAGCTGTTGCCTTTCGGTGATAAGTGAAGACCATCACACAAGTAGGAAGAGAAATCCTGCAGGCAAGGTTAAAACACGTATCAGTGTATTTGCTAGTTGCAAATAGAAGGTATTGAGTAACTGTTAAGTTCATCAGAGACAGCTGAATTATAAACTGGGGTTTTTTTTCAATGCTTGTATCAAAATATTGAGTCTACTGCACTACTGAACAGTCAACTGCACCAGGGAGTGTGGGTGAGATTCAGTGTCCAAACTGGAGTTATCTGCCTATAAGGTCTGTAACAGACTGTCACAGACCAGTATAGGAATCTGGTCACCTGCACCAGCGAGGCACCAGTGCAGCCTGACCTAACCTTGTGCTGACGCTATCCCAACACCATGCAGGTTGCCCAGAGAAGTTATGGCTGTCTCATTCCTGGCAGTGTTCAAGGTCAGGTTGAATGGGGCTTTGAGCAACCTGCTCTAGTGTAAGGTGTCCCAGCCCTTGGCAGGGAGTTGGAACTAGTCCTCTTCCAACCTACACCATCTTGTGATCCTATGAAAAGGTTATGTATGTGTAATGCTCCCAGGGGACATTCACTAAGCAAACATAATGGCCAGTCTGTGTTAAGCTTTATTTCTCAAAGCTCACTATGAAGCTTTCTAAATTATCCTTTCCCTTCCCCAAAGTGTAATACAGATCTTTTTTGTACCATTTCAGTGAACATGCAGCACTACCAGTTCCTCTAAGCTAAATGATGCACTTCACAATTCATGACAGTTTTAAAGCTTTTTTGACATCATACCTGATTGTTCTGCATCAGTGTCCAGAGGTCGACTACATCAGTTCCACAGTCCCTAGCAACCTGAACACAGGCCTGGGCATACTCCCCAGTGGTTGCATTGTGGCGATTCAATTTATCACCTATCCATCAGAAACAAAAAAACATTTGGCAATCGTGACTGATCCACCCTGATTTCAGTCCTCTGCACGATGCATATCAGTTTGTTAAACCAGCCCACATATAACCAATTGCAAACCAAATCCAAAGCATGCAGATTTCAGTGGCTGGAAGCTAAAGCTTGGTGAGTCTCTTTCAGGGCACCTTTTGGTTTTGAGGCATCTGAAAACATGTTTCTTGTTAACAGATTTAAAACTCTTCATACACCTGCACCTAGCATGTGGAATAGGGTGAACAAAATGTAAATCTATTTTGAAGTTTGTCTTTTACTCCCTGGGTAACATCCACCATTTAGCATCTCCTTCCAGCAGTCTCATATGTAGGCAGGCCCAAAGCTTGATCAGCACCCACAAATGGTACCTTTGTGTGCACAGTTAACTGTGAGCTGGGTGGTCAGTCCGTGCTCAGTGCCAGCAGCTCTGTATGGAGCCCAGGGAAACTTTGGGGCAGGATATCATTAAATTACCTTATTTTATTATTATCTTTTTTAATGGGACCTTTAACTCCTACTCCCTCCTTGCACATGATGATTCCCACCTCTTCTCACTGCCATCTCCTTCCTCCCATCATTTGTTTTCATCATCAAAATACCTCTGGCAGCCCCCCTGGTCCTTCCCCATAACAGTACATTTCCTACCTCCGCCTTTCTTCAACCTTCTTCCTGATCTAACTCTCACACGGAACCGAGTGGCCCTTCAGCTCATTCAGCCGCCACCATGCAGAGCTCCCTTTGTTGCCATGTTCCCTGTGTTGGCCGCAGCCTCACCTCCCCAGGTGAGGTCCTGCAGTCCTGCCCCTTTCCAGTTTGATGACTTACATCCTAGCAGAGTGGATGATTTCTTATTCTCCCTTTGCCTTTTCTTTCACTGTTTGTTAGGATTACTTCTTAACTGTTTCATCTCCTCTTCCATTTTGGAAGCACATGCACACCTGCTCTCAGTGTGCAGCTCTGCAGACGCACGTGCTGCTGGGTCTGTAAGTGAAGAGCAGTGGCCAAAGGAAGCTCAGAAAGAACATGGGGATATCCTGAGGGACCAAGAAGGCAACCTAGCAATTTATCCTGACTTGCACATCCCACCCTGTCTTGTGACAGCCAGCAGTGGGGAGCAATGGCTTAGGGGAAACCTGGAGACACCAGATACATTTGGGTGTGTGGGACTGACCTGAAGGAGCTACCTGTTGTACTCATGAGGTCAGTGCCTTCCACCTACAGAAATTCAGGGCTAACAGGAGCCCCACAGTGATTGGAAGAAGGTTCACATGACATCCAATCTCAAGAAAGACAAGAAAGGGCCTGGGACCTGTTTATCACTCAGCCTCACCTCAGTCCTGGGAAAGATAGTGGGGTTACCTCCTCTTGAGATTCATTTCCAAACACATGAAGGACAACAAGTAATTATCAATACAAATCTAGCAAAGGCAGATAGTGCTTGATCACCCGATTGCCTTCTGCAATGAATTAATGGCTATGCAGATGATGAAGAGCAGCTCTGACCTTCGTAAGGGCTTTGACTCCATCTCCCACAGCATTTGGATTTGGAAGCTGTGCTTCTTTTCGCACCTATTTTCACACCTGAATGAATGTTCCTGTGAAACATCACCCTCATGTTTCACACCTCTCTCTCCTTTGCTCTGATCTCTAACTGACAAAACCAGAAATAAACACAACATTTCCCCTGGATAATAGTTGAGGGCAGATGATCAAAAAATGCTGCTTCCTGTGCCCACAATACTCCATTTGTGGTCCATGGTCTGAGATCACCCTGTCTTTTGTTCCATCCCTAGAGAGCAAACTCTTTTAGACAGATGCTGGCAGATTCAACACTGTAAATGCAAGTTTCCTCCCTCTCTACCCCACAAAAAGGATAGGTTTAAGATGAAAATGAATTAACAACATTTTAGAGGTGTTACTTGAGAGCTAAGCAGCATTCATGGTGTGCTCACCTAACATTTCAAGAGGACAATACAGGTCCATGTGTTGGAATCCAGGGCTATAATGAGAGCTGCGCACAGACAGGAAAGGCTGCTCTATGCCTGACCTGCCTCTCAGTCCCTGTCCAAGGATCTAATACTGCCACATCTACTGTACTGGCCGTGTCTGATCTGTCCTGCTATAGCTGCTACTGTCTTACACAATTTGTGAGTATAACTCTTTGGGGGACTTTCTCTCTTTTTCTACATTAAATATAAAAACTACCTGGCTGGATGAGACTGAAAGTCCATACAGTCCAAACCCTGTTTTGTACAGTGACCACTACCACACAACAAAGCCCCCTAATACAAAGTCATGCAACAACACAGCCTAACTTGGTACAGTTTAAACATGGGATCATCTTCAAAATGTTACCACCCAGATTGAGCACACAGCTCAGGACATGTAATATCACTTAAGTTAGAGAAAACCCTGCAAATACTAAGGTGACAGCTCTGTATTTATCTGAATCTAACTCAAGTCTTTTATAAATGTGCAAGAAGTGGACAAGTTGTCCCAAAAGAGGACTCACTCTTAAGAGGCATAAACTGTCGCTGCTGGAGTCAGTGGGATTATGGCAATTTCCACCAGCTGACTAACACGAAGTAAGCAGTGCTCTTCTGTCTCTATTTTTAGAATCATCCTGAACAACATCATAATGAAAAATCATTTAATCAGCTTTTGCTTCCTTCCCGGGTACTTTTATTTGCATCTTAGATGATGGTATCTTTGGGGAGGGAGGTGTAAATTTAAAATAAACCCAGCTAGGATATTACTGCGTAAGGCACCCAATGCCAGAATTTCTTCCGTAATTTGGGTTATTTTGGGAGCTGTGAGGACATGATGTAGTCTGTCTAGGGCATCTCAGCACAACCTGCATTCTCAAAGGGCAGACGCTTCTGCCAGTTCTACGCACAAACAGCTCAAACAACACTTTCAAAAGAATGTTACTGATCAGTCTTTAGTTACTGCACAAGCTTACCCAAAAGTTCTTTAGCAAGACAGCTACTTGTCCTTTTTTCCATCAGCTCAAGGAACATGACTGCTACCCGGTACAAGCATGAAGCGAATCACCTCTCAGCCTGCAATCAGAAGCTTACACTCTGCCAGTAAAATGCTGAAGCTTTGCCTGCCCGCATCACTCTTACCTTTGGCAAGGCACTCCTTTTCCCAAGCTGATTCATGAAGAGGCGGTGGCGTTATCAAAATAATCCTGTCTTCAGTAATGTCCACTGACTTGAGGTACTGTATCATGCTCTTCAAGTTCGCAGCGTACTCCTCCAAAGGAACGTGTTGCTTTGGGTTCAGATCTATTCAGGGATGGAGCACGTGCACTAGTGATGTTAAACTGCTCACAGGTTTATTACACAGTACAATGTGCTTTGTACACAGCGTATAAATGCAGGCACTCATTTTGTGTGCAGTTCACCTCAACCACTGGACCAGGAGGTGTGGTAGGAAAACACTGTTCCTCAACATCCAAAGCAACCAAATCAAGGTTTTAAACACAGCACTTTCAACTAATACAAATAAGGCACAGGGAAAAATAAAATAAAAACCAAAGAAAAATATGTATTTTTAGACACTCTTTCTTACAACCCTGTATCTTAGTATTAGATCACACCATCACCTCAAACCTCACTGAAACAAAACCTAAGATTTTTACCCCTCTTGGGTGCAGAGAAAATTTGGGAAATTCCCACAGATGCACAGTCAGTCCTTCGTGTGCTGATGTTATCATTTTGATTAGACTAGCTCTGCATGCTTGCTATGCTTATCTCTAAAATAATCCAAATGTGCATTCATTCGCTCATTTCCTCAACCCATCGGCCAGAACTCATGAGCCTGCTTTAAAGGCAAAAAAATCAGCAGGATGCCCAACTCCAGTTTTAGGTGATGGATATATGACTGATTCTTGAGCACCTTGACATTTACTTGTGATATTAAAACTTCGTGAGAGGAATAGAAGGCACTGCATGGTTTAAATACAAATAAAATGATTGAAAACGATCCACTGTAAAAACAAAGAGAGGGTAACTGGTTCACGGAGAAGTGCCAGGAAAAGTCTGTGTGATGTTCTGCTTTCCCTGCTGAACTGTAAAACTGTCTTGAGTCATAGGGGTGAGGGGTGGGAAGGTACGGTACCTTTCAAAGCACTGTCATTAGCTCCGAAGAAAATAGTAACTGCAACAGTACTCTCAGCACCAGCACTTTTAGCGATCAGTCTTGGCAGGATCAATTTAGCCCATCTGGTGTTGTACCCTGAGAGCCCACGGTTCACAACATCACATTTTCTGAAACAGAAACACATCTCATAAAGAACAGTCCTCCTCTGCACACCAGGACAAAACCCGGGGTGTTCTGAACCACTCTGCCGGGACACCTGCTCCTGTCCCTCTCAGAAAGGATGAGGTGTCACAGAAGTTTCCAATGGGATTACAACTTTGTGTCTTGAAAGTGCAGGCACGATCTCGACAATCCCTAAGGATTTAAGTGCTCAAGGCCAGGCTGGACGGGGCTTTGAGCAACCTGGTCTAATTGAAGGCGTCCTGCCCATGGCAGGGGTTGGAACTGTGTGAGCTTTAACGTTGCTTCCAACCTAAACCGTTCTATGATTTATTTTCCCCTCAAGCTCTGGTGGAACGAAACACCCAGTGAGTATTCCCACCACTACTGGGCAGGCTACCACTAAGGCAGTTGCACTCCAATAAATAGTTAATAAATAAATATACATTAAATATTAACTTGTGTTGGTTTTCTTTTGGAAGAGCTGCAGATGTTCTTGCATGCTAGACATTACTTTGGGAATTTAACCTCTTACCTGACCAGTCTCTCAGCAAGATACATCCCCCAGCCATCTTCCCTGAAGGAGAACTGAGAGGAAGGAAAACTGTTAGACCCTCACTGGAAAAGCTCACTCCCCAGCAAGTCAGTCCCACCACCAGCATCTTCCTTCCCTCCTCAAAGGCTTTTCTCTGCAGCAGCACTTCCTCCCAGCCTGCCCTGCAGAGGTCCAACAGTCTGGGTCTTTACGCAGATGCACAGCTGGCATCAGAGGCAAGTGATAAAACTGACCGCTGCCAGGCTGCAGTTTCATCTTGGCTTATGAGATTTGGGTTTTAACACCTTTTGCTAAGATCCTTTCACTGCGCCTCCATTCAACAACCTTCCCTCCACATGCTGCTTCAGAATGCAGTCTGACACCTCTCTCTCCTAGCAGCGGAAAAATCAATCCCCTCCCTTTATTCCCACTGCTGCACTATCTTCTCTGTTACAATGCTGCGGGAGTGAGGGACACTACAAGTAACAGGCTGTCCTCCCTGTTTGAGAAACACCCCTGCCACTGCAGTACCAGAAACTACACTTTTACCAGACCACACTGCTAACACAGGAACTTCTGCTTCTCCGCAACAAGGCTCTGAATCTCATTAATGACCATCAGTGTGAAAGCTCCTGGCACACTCACGGGAGATCCAACAGGGATGTAACTACCCCAGGCTGCGCTCCCACTTCTCTGGCCTCCTTCCCTCCTCACAGAGCCGGGCTGCTCCCTACCCCGCCAGCCCCGGACGGTCGGACCGCAGCCCGCCGCAGCCGTCAGAGCCGGGGGAGAGCGGCTTACGGGGCTCAGTCACCACGATCCGCCCGACAGGCTTCTCCCGCCGCAGGCGAGGCGCGGGCCGGTCGGCGAGGCGAGGCTGGAGGCCAGGCTGCCTCACGACAGGGCACACGCATCCCCTCCTGCTGCAGCCAGCTCGGTTTTCCTTACAAATTAAGTCAAGTCCTGTGCTTGGCACAGGCCCAGTGTCCACAGAAAACCACGGTACTCCGGTACAAGGAACCGGGATGCTCACGGGGCTCCGGAGCTCAGGCGGGAGCTAGGGGGTCCGCCGCTCTTACGGCCGTGTGAAGCCGGCGACCCCACAGGCAAGGGCGGCGGCACGGCGCTGCTGCAGGGCCGCTACCTCAGTGATGGAGTCTCCGAAGAGGACGACACGGGGCCAGAGCAAGAGCCGCCCGCAAGCACCCGCCTCCACCAGCGCCATGTCCGCGGCCGGACGTCCTCCGGAACGGGGTGGGGGGAGAAGGAGGAGGAGCAGGAGGAGACCTCGCAGCTCCCTCTACGTTAAGAGGTGGCTTGAGGTTCCAGCAGCGCTAATGTTTAACTGGTTTCCACCTCCGTAACAGTGAAGCGCGTCCTCCTGCGGAGCCGCGGCCTGGAGAAGATGGCGGTTCCCGCGGGAGAGCCCCGCCTGGCGGTGGCTGAAAGCACGTTTAAAAACACGAGCATAACTTTTAAAATAAGACTTTTTAACTGTTCCAAAGAGGTATTTCATTTTAAATAGAATGCAGTTACCGCGTTTGAAAGGCTTAATACTGTTACGCCTAATGACATACAGGCTGGGGAGGGAAGCTGTCACTAACCCTGGTAATACTAATAGTACACTGATTCTACTGCCAGTGTTTAAAGGGTGGCTACAAAGAAGATGGAGACACCCTTTAGAAGGAGTCACATGGAAAAGAGGAGGGGTAATGGGCACAGGTTACTCCTGGGATGATTCTAATTGGACTTGAGGAAATTTGCACTATGAGAACAATCAACCATTGGAATTATCTCTGCAGGGAAGTGGTGGATTCCTCAGTGTTGGACACTTAGGAGGCTGGGCTGGACAGGGTGCTGGGACATCCAGCCACTTTGCCAGGAAGAGTTGGAGCACATGGTCCTTGAGGTACCTTCCAACCTGGTATTCCGATTTCTGTGATCCACGAGATTCCAATTTAAACCAGCTGGGAGTGGGGAGACAAAAAGCTGTGTGTGTAACAAAGATGTTTTGTAGAAAACTCACTGCCCATGGGCAATTTTCTGCACAATTTACTGTTTGGCAACAACCCCGGCTAACTCGGAGTATCATTCTTCTCCTCCACATGCTGCAGTCCACATGCAGGTACCACATTTCACGTTGCCCAGGAAGACCCTTGCACCAGCACAGAGTGACAGGGCCCTTGGCAGGGGCAGATGTGTGTGAACTGTCACTGGAACTTGCACAAGGCTTTGCTTGAAGCTGGTTTTGTTCATCTAGTCTAGTTAATGGTAATGGCTGTATACACGGCTGTAGAGCTCTAATTAACCCCAGTATGCAAATGTGGATTGGTTTTTAAACGTGTTCAAACTCTCTTTGACTTCAAGCAGGTGCAAGCATGCAGTTTTTATTGCAATGCATGCTTCCTTTACAGGAACAAAAGTCTATACAAGCTTGACTCAACACAAAAAGGACATGGATCTGTTGGAACAAGTCCAGAGGAGGGCCACGAGGATGATCAGGGGACTGGAGCACCTCCTGTATGAAGATAGGCTGAGAAAGTTGGGGCTGTTCAGCCTGGAGAAGAGAAGGTTGCGTGGAGACCTCATAGCAGCCTTGCAGTATCTGAAGGGGGCCTTATAAGGATGCTGGGGAGGGACTGTTCATTAGGGACTGTAGTGATAGGACAAGGGGTAATGGGTTAAAACTTAAACAGGAGAACTTTAGATTGGATATAAGGACGAAATTCTTTACTGTGAGGGTGGTGAGGCACTGGAATGCCAGTACTTTCACATATGCTTTCATGTTTGAAGTTGTAGTATAGTCAGATGCTCAAGAACTTCATGTTAGGACAAATTGTGCAGCTCCTTATTTACTCTTTCATCTGTGCTGGCAATTTCTCATGGAAAAATAGAATTACTGAGAGTTACACTTGTAAAGCTGTAGAGGGCAATTACAGCCAGAGTAGAGTTAAAAATCTCTGCTTTGGTCCATTTTTATCTGAAGGGGGCCTTATAGGGATGCTGGAGAGGGACTCTTCATTAGGAACTGTAGTGACAGGACAAGGGGTAACGGGTTAAAACTTAAACAGGGGAAGTTTAGATTGGATATAAGGAGGAAATTCTTTCCTGTGAGGGTGGTGAGGCACTGGAATGGGTTGCCCAGGGAGGTTGTGAATGCTTCATCCCTGGTGGTGTCCAAGGCCAGGTTGGACAGAGCCTTGGTTGGCATGGTTTAATGTGAGGTGTCCCTGCCCCTGCCAGGGGGGTTGGAACGAGATGATCTTAAGGTCCTTTCCAACCCTAACTATTTTATGACTCTATGACTGAGCATATGAAAAACAAATACATCAAATTCATCCAGCTGGTCATTAATCTTCAAAAACATGAAACTCAATTTAATTTTTGTAATTCTACATTTAGATAGGTTAATAATTTCTTTATTTCTTGTATGTGCACATAAGAAGAAAGAATATATGCACACTTTGCCTGGTTTTATTATAATCTATAATACTTCCACAAATATAGTTGCTCTAAGGTTACTCATCCATTGCTTGAAATACCTCAGCAGTTTCACAGTCACAGCATTGATACATCTGACTTACTGAAGAAAAAATTTATTTGCTCTTAAAAGTTAGTCCAAATAAATCGAACATTTAGAAGATATTTTTTTATGTGTCCTAGGTATCTACAGAGGTCAGCATACTGGGCTGAGGGCATCATAAAGCCTCTGTGCAGCCAGTTCCACCATTTCACGGAGGGATTCATCATCTTCACTTCCTGGCTCACAGTCAACTGTCTGGGAACAAAAAATAGAAGTTAAGTTAGAACAACCAGCACTTCATATTCCTTTCAGCATGTGAACAATGCAGTGCTCATCAGGGGAAAGGAAAAAAATAGTCACGCAAATGGAAAAGAGTTATCAAGTGCAGCACTTTATGTTCTTAAATGGTCTGCCAATATGTAGAAGACTACAGAGAAGACTCATGGAAGCCCGGCTGAGGAACAAGAAGCTTAATCTCAAGTGTTATGTTTGATTAATAACATGTTTCAAAACTACTATGTAAAATTCATTAAGTTCTGTACGTTACATTTAATTCAAAATCAAATAAAACCACACGAGGTTCAGTCCTTTCAGTTTCCATTTTACCTGTGAATTCACCCGCGTTGCATTAGGTTAATACTGTAAAACACATGCATTCATCACAGAGGTACAGTCCCTCTGTGCTGAGGGAGCCTCCACACTGATACTCCCACAACCATAAAATAACATTTGCATCAATATAAAAGCCTGAAGAGATTATCACTAAAGCAACTCATCCTAGAGAAAGATGCTCACCCCAAACACACAAGTTGATCAACATTCAACCTGATTATCCCCTGACTGCTCTATCTCAAAGGGCAGCATTTGCATAGTAACACTATTCTCGATCCTATGGACTTTCAGGCTCTAAGACTGTACCTTCTCTAATTCAGTATTAACTTGCTGGTCTTCTGAACAAATAACAGCTTTCAACCATGAAGGTTTGTGAAGAGAAAAAAAAGGGGGGGCATTTAAAACAGCAAATGTATTTAATGTTATCTGACAATGCTGTTAGAAGCACGTGAACTCTAAGAGCACTGTGTTAACAGTTACCATGGAAAAAGTAACCCAGAAATCCCACCATATAGTCAGATCTATACTAAACAGTTTTTCATTTTAAAGCCATTAAGGTTTTATACGATATATATGCACGGAAGGACAGAAACCTGGTTCAAGACGGCACAAGTTTGCCACTGCCAACTCAGTATGTAAAGTATTACAAAGATACACAAGATAGCAGCTGAGCTGCCATTAGGGCTTCTGTCAGTGCACAATAATAACATACATCAATAATGTATTATTAACAATAATGACATACATCAATATAGTATTACATGAAAATGAAGCCTAACTTCTTGATTAAGCATTACGTATTTTTTTTCCAGTCTTGTTACCTTTTTCTCTATTGCAAGAGCTCTTTTCATCAGTCCTATGTTCCTGTACTATGTACACATTGAAATGTAGCATATGGTTATTAGAAAACTGAAAAAAGATGACATACCAATCATGGTGTGTTAACCACAAGACTGTAACTCACTTGCCTCTTGAGATAATTAATACTCATTTAGTTTGTTTCAATAGGTAAGAAATTTTGGGCTGGGATCAACCTTCTTTTGCATTTGTAGAACACTTAAAACATTTGTTATGGTCCCTCAGGACAGCATCTAGGAGCTACTCCAGACTGGAATGGATTACTACAATGGGTAGTGGTAATACATTATATATTTTCACTATGCTATTAATTATGACAAAGTCAACACATTAAAATGCTTAAGAACACAAAAGACATGGTTTGAACCATTCTTTACAATTCCTTATTTTTTAGTAACTAGGTGCGATTGCTTCTTCAATCAGCCTTCTGACATGCATCACATTCAGTTCTGAACCTAGCTAATAAATTCATAAAATACTTCTTTTTGTGAGTATTTCAGGCTTTCAGTTTAGCTACAAAACGATCAAGATGACCAAAAACCCAATTATTACCGTTGCTCCTACTCTGATTGCTCAATTATCCAGACCAGAGCCTGTTTTAAGAGCATTTACAGAAGAAATTGTGGGTTAAATCCATTTCTCCTCTAAAATCTGCCTTTATCCATCTTTATACAAGTAGAGAGCTGCTGACAGATACTGGGGTTTCTTCCAAATTTACTGCATTTGTTACATAAACATTTCTAGCTTTTTTTTAATGAAGAAAACTCTGTAGGATATGCTTCTGTTAAATCAGTGATCTCAGCTCACAGGCTGGGTCAGTATTTCTCTCAGAGAGGCAGGGTACTGATCCACTGATGAGAATGCCAATGGAGATAATAGAAAGTGAACAGGCTTAAGCTGTTTTGATATCAAATACAAAATAATTTCCTTAGCAATGGGTACATGATATTCTAGGCAGATCTGTATATTAGATGGGAGACTCGCCTCTGCTAAATATAGCCAAACACAAAAGAGAGTGCTTTGCTGTACATACCCGAGTGTCCAGTGAAATGTTTGCAGTCTTGCCATCAACCGTGATGCACAGGACAGAGCCATCTTTTGAACTCACACAGTCTTCTCCAAACATATCCCTAAAACAAAGACCTATGCGTGTAAGACGTGGCCAAACAGTAAACTTGTAATTTATTTTCTATTAACCTCAGGGTTCCAAAGGCATTTTGTCAGCAGAGTATCTCCTTTCAGCAACTGTTATTTAGCCCACTTAAATATAATCA